ATATGAAAGATCTTAACCTCTCTTCATATGACAAACTCCCTATCCCAGACATTATTTTATTAACCCTCCTCTGAGCTCTTTTCAATAATTCAATGTCCTTCCTAAGGTAAGGAACTCAAAACTGAACACAATACTCCAAATGTGGTTGAACCAGTGACCTATACAATGACATTATAACCTCTTTAGACTTGTATTCAATATTTTTGTAGATACAACCTAAAATCCTATTTGCCTTACCACTAGCGAAGGCACATTGTTTGGATGACTTAAAAGACTGATCAACCATTACTCCAAGATCCCTTTCTTTCATGACACTGTTAAGGTCATCCCCATCCAAATTATACTTATAATTGAAATTATGATAATCACATGCATTATCTTGCATTTATTGTAATTAAAAGCCATCTGTCATTTATTTACTCAATGGCTAAATGATCTATATCATTTTGTAAAGCAGCAGCTTTTTCTCCACAGCTAGTAACACTCAAGATCTTATTTATTGACCATTCCTTCATCTATGTCACTGATGTAAATCAAAAAGAGCAAAGGTCACAAGACTGAGCCCTGAGTTACCCCACTTGTGATATTAATCTAGTTTGAGTTAACTCCAGTTATAACAACCCTCTGCTTTCTTCCATCCAGTCACTTTTCTATCAAATTAGCTAACATAGCCCCCACATCTATAGAAATAATTTTTGACAAACCCTTTATGTGGCACCTTGTCAAATGCTTTCTGAAAATCCAGATACACCAAATTTACATCCTTACCCTCATCTACATAAGCAGTAACGTTTTCAATGAATATCAAAAGATTTCTAAGTCAAGATTTTCCTTTAGCGAAACCATGTTGACTATCCAATAAAATTCTAAAGTTTGTTAAGTGGCATTGCAAAGCATCTTTTATCAAAATTTCCAAAGTTTTTCCCACCACTGATGTAATACTAATACGCCTATATTTACTGGGACAATTTTTATCACCTCCCTTGAAAAGAGGAGTGACATTAGCTAACTTTCAATCCTTTAGCACATGCGTACTATTCAGGGACTTACAAACAATAGTAGTAAGTGGCTCACATATCCCACCTTTAACCTCCTTGAAAACTCTTGG